GGGGGGGAGGGGAGACAAAGTGAAACAAGTCGATCTGTTTGGTTCAGGAAAGTTAGTTTATTGAAGTTCACGTAGCTCGTTTTTGTGCTCATTACGCACCTAGTACATTTTCACGAATGCTACAAATCTCCGTTGGTGTTATGTCTATGACCATGTCCGCGATCATCTGCTTACTCGGTTAATAATAGCAACTATTTGGATCACAGGAAGCCAGTCGCATGCTTACAACTCTTTCATTCCAATTCATCTCGAAAAGCAGTGCTCGTTAAGTTAACCTTACTTCTTTGTTCCTTTATAACTTCAGCGTAAATGTCATTTTATAAATGGTCGTATTCTGTTACGAGGATATTAGGTTCGATATGCTTTTAGGCAGAAAGCCGTCTAATCTAAAGTGTACACCTTTATTGCAGTACTGGGTCACTCGAACCTATCATCTCCATCTATCCAGATAAATACTAGAGAAAATGGACAAGATGTGTTATTCGTGGAACTCGGCTACGCCCATCCGTTGGGGGTGAGTCTGATAAAGTCTCAATACAGAAAGATTTTTGGTATTTGTCAATTCAAAGCATCCACGGTGTAGCTGCGATATCCGGTCGTCGTTTATGCAGGAGTGAGAGCACATTGTTATGTTGAGGACGATATCGGTGGTTTTAAGTCGCAGAGCCATTAATCTTGAATTTACATGTGCCAGCATAAGTTGATGTGTTTCGGCAAACCGTTTGGCCGCCCAATGAATGGGTCAATGAAAAACGGGCAATCCGAGAGCAGAACCAAGATATATCATGCAGACAAACTATACCACATTCACCTCAAGTTGTCCTAGTAACAAATTGCTGTGTTTCTATATAGACTTGAGATGTCTGCTTCCTATGTTGACGGAACATTGGCGAGCAAAATGAGGAGACTTTGATGCAAGGGGCTTATCCAACTGACGGTCGGGCCATTAAACACCAAGCCATGAAAAACATTTTCACATACATGGCGACTGTTTTGAGTGTTCAAGAGGAAGAAAGAGAAGCGAACTCGGGTCATTATCGTACTCCGTGGGTTGCACACACCCTATGCCTCAGGGACTCATAATTCTACCGGGCGAAATACTAATAATTTAGTATCTGTGTATCAGTAGTCGACAATGAAAAATCATAAGTTGATACTGGAACATCTCAATACAAAAATATCTTGTCACTCGATGAAACATAAAAGTGAAAAAATAAATTTATGGATAATTTAAGTAAAGTTTTTTCTACAGCATGTACGACTAGAAGTTAAGATCAGATCGCTATCTGATCTTAAATTCTAGTTGACTCGTCCTCAAGTTCAAGATGTAACCATAGTAACAGAATATATGGCAAACATTATGGAGCATACAATTGATAATTGACTTTCTGTAGTACGTACCATGATACCTAGAATACCGCGTATTGTTCAAAAGAATGAAGCTACGATACTGTCATCAACCAATGAGGGGGAAAAGTTCCAGAGAAGCACTCAATCCCTTGGCATCTGTGTGGTCTAAATAAATCAATTTCTTTAAGTTAAGGTCCAAAAGCGAATACAGCTGGCACTTCAAATGTAATGCTATCCAAAATATACCATGATAACTGCTGCATGTATGTATCGAATTCAACATTAAAAGTTATTCTAGGAAAATCAATGAATGAAAGCATACATACTAACCCATCGGTATTCCTCTAGCAGATCGGGTTTGTATTCGCTGTAATTCCACATGTGCCATATTTAGTTCCCGCTCGTAGTTTAATACTTTACGACGCAACGCCAGATTCTCCTCTTCCGCAATGTCCAACTGTCGACGTGTCATGACTAGTTCGTTCTCTAGCTGTCCTGGAGGTGACCGTACATCACCGGGACCACTGCCTTCTCGGAGACCGGGTTTTGAACTGCCCTGGGCTGCACTTGTGTTTGATTGACGTCCGAGAGAACCGGGTTGGTATGGATCTGGAGGCTGCAATGCAGATGAGAGTTCGTGTGGGAAGGATGACGGGTGGCGACGCAAGGCCATCATAGTCATGCATAAAGTGTACATATCTTGGAACTAAAAGAAACAAAGTATCGTATTCATTTTAAGTGAATTAAATATTTTTGTTATGGCCGACAAAGGACACTGGACAGCTGTTTCATCCTGTTTGGGAAGCATTGGCAATTTCTTCACTTTGGCACTTCGTGCCCCTGTCAGGATTCAAACCCAAGGTATGTGTATGATGTATCCCAATAAACCGAATGGGCTAACCAAAACCTTCACCGTCTTTATTGTACGGCTGTTTGGAAATTGCTGGGTAACATCATTTGCGAGAATTCATCAATCTCACGGAGAATGGAATGTGAGATTCAACAGAGTGCATCGCTCATATGCCCACCGGAAATGTGGTATATTGATTATTCACCTTTTGCGATATACTACTTGTATATAGGCCTATTGTGATCAACTATTTAGACAGATCTCTGCGCTGTCCTAAAAAGATAGCTGCTAATGAACCACGTTTTTGAGTGCATTCTTGTAATTGTGTATTATATTTTCATAGTATTCACTGAGGTATTGTATAGTTGGCCTGAGTGCAATTGCAAAACGAGGGTGTGTTGGGGGGTCATCGACTTTGAAGAATACTCATTCGTCTAGGCATGTCACTCTCAAGGAATCGTGGAATGCGTCCATTGGTTAAGAACATTCAGTGTAGCCGAGTATGGATGTGATTAATTCATTCTCGAGCCTGCACATTAATATTCATATGTAACAAATTCACTGAGTCAAAATGGAATGGGGTGGGGGGTAGGTCATGTATGTTGTGATGAGTCCGAATCCACTCCAGCTTGGTGCGTTGCTACTATAAAGTGATCAAAATGAAATTTATTATGTCATCATCATGTGCACAAGCGGTTTTATTTTAATTCCGCCCGGGGGAGTGCTTGAAACAATTTCCCTTGTGTTCACTGCTTAAGTTTTTTTAAATAATAATAATTGCCCCTGCGGTCGCTAAAATACGTAACCTTATTTTTCTTGGGGATATGGTGAGACGCGGTAAATAATTGTGAAAACCGAATGGATTTCAACCGACTATCCCCTCTCTATCACTGGAGCAACAATGGTTCTTGGTACTGCTCCATCCCCGTTATGTGTGAGCCAGTGTAGATTTTTATGCATCAGTAGGCACTCGTATGTGAGGTCAATATAAGTAGCTCCCTAGGGCATTGGTCGTTTGAAGTAGACGACACGTCTTAGCTGCACGGCGTTAAAGGTGGATTTCAATGAGGCAGATAAGACTTCACTAACGATTTCATCTGTAGCAATTTCTGTATTTTATATAAATGCAATTGCAGGGGATTGTGAAAGAGTTCACTGTAAAAATATGTTCACACATACCGTACGTTATTTATATCTTCAAGGCTCAAAATTGAGTGTGACGAGATGCGACCAAAAGTTTTCATTTGACAGGATTGAAGTTTGTTTATAATTTTTGCACAAATGGATGGTTTCCTTAATGGGATATCACAAATCTCTTGTGGTCCTCTTATTAGCTAAACCACTGACTGCACGTATCCATGTTAATATTATTATTTACTGATTGAATGATGCCAACTGCCACACATACCGTCATGCGATAATAATATCCCCCTGTACCTCCGCTCCCATGTCCACGATCATCACCACTTTCGGTACTCGGGACGATAACTGTACAAAAATGGACCAACAGAACAATTCTCACAAAATTATTTCATCCTCCACCCACCCCACCCGCACCCCCGTGGACTTCACTCACAACTTCAAAAACGGGTGCGACAGTCATCACGCTCTGTACCTTAGCACGGAAATTGACAACTGTGGTGAGTCAGTGACCATATGCTTATGTCACTCTCAATGACCTTGAAGGGGCGAAAATAATCAAGCGGGTCAGCACGAGCCATTGGCAGCTTGCTGATATCAAGGAACAACGAACACTGAAAATGGTCATGGGGATAAAATGAAAAGGAAGACGCATAGTTCCAGCAAATTTTCTAAAAGATGTATTGCAGGCGTAAAACGACTGCTGGCAGGATCCGCGATTGGAAGATCAGTACCTCGGTAGGCAGATTACCGATCGAAACTCCGTGATGGCATGGATTACCTCTTCAAGCGAGCAACCTCGGTACATTACAAGATGTTCAAGCTTCTACTGCATGTAAACACATGCTGGATCGACAGTGTATGCCACGAATGGCATCAAATGGTCGTTCTGAAACCATTTTCCTCTATGATAGGGGCCGCACTCGTAACTCGTATTTGACAAAATGCGGCATCAGAAAAATGTGGTTTTCGGGCAAACTGGGTTAAACAGAAAACATTAGAGCTTACCTACCGGGAGGGTGTAACACGATGAAATATTATACACCAAGAAACAGATTTTATAAACATCCAGAGAGTGGAACAATGCCGACCGTGAGCGTACTAAGATTCTCCTATGGAGTATGTTGAGTTGTGTGGAAATTTTTTGTGATTTTGTGTTTTAATGTTACAATGGGTTTATTCTGGAATTTGCGTGGAAGTTTCAAGATGGAATGCTCAAAGCAGACAGTATTACGCTGGTTCCAGTGGTCAACGTGCATGGATGTGTGTGATACTTTTGTCGCGGTGAAAATGGTCTAGTATAGTTTTGTTATAATAGAAGACAAACTGATAAAATTTTGTCTTGGCTTTGCATTCGGTTGTCGTCTCTATTCTCAAAAATGGTGATAATCAGGGAATTAGGAGCAGAGATAATGTAAAGCTCTAGGAGTGATGATAGGTGAGTGACGGGATGCACACATTTACGTGTCCACATAAGCTCACGCATAAGCACACGTAGCATACTGAATTGGCCTATCGAAAGGGTGATTCGCTCCAACCAATCAGACTTCAGTATTGAGCAGCTCCAGTGGAGTGATTCATTGATTCCTCGATCGCACCCCGACTGCACGAAATGTGTATGCCTGTCATTTTGTTACAGTTTTGTATTCCTAGTTGCTTGCATACGGATTTACCTGTTCACTCATTGAACTAAGTACTCACTATGAAAAAGGAGCAACCTACATACGGTGTTCTTCAGACAATGCCAAACACAACAGCTTCCTATCCACTGTACTGCGATAGTGGAATGGTGTACATGATCAACAGTTTCGATTTTAGTGACGGGTAGTCTTTTGTGAACAAAATATTGTTCCATTCCATTGATCAACCACTCATTCAACTCGGTCTGTTTTCGGGCCTGAAAACATGGATTGCAACAGCCAAAAACGCGAACTAAGAAGGTCATACTTCATTTCCCCAGGGACAGTCACACGCGCAAGCGTTTAGTTTACCAGGTCTCTTAATTTAGGCAGCGCAATAGGGTCTACAGTTACTCAGTTGAATGCGGTAATGCCCGACTCTTGAAATACCATCGAGATAAATCCTTTTTGGGTAAGTTTGAGCATTGTGGGTACATAGGTTACCACACAAGCTGTTTTCGGTTCTTCATCAACTGACTAAATACAGAACATTGTATAGAAGACTAAACGGGTGGTGAGAGATGAAACATGATTGCAAAAGCGATATGAGATGATGTGGTTGAGATAATTTGCATGTATGATGTTCGTGTGCAGGTGGGGAAGGGCTGATTGGATGAATGAAACACCGAAAACATGCTTGTTTGCTAATCTGTGCTCTCATAATCAGCCAGTCAGGGAGATTTTCGCATTTCAGCTTTGCTTTCCTTTTTTCAAAACCTCGTCTTGCCGGAACACGGTCGCATAATTCTGCCTACGCCGACAGAGGTTTTTCGCACCACACTGTCTATATTTGGTGCCTTTGAAGACACGTTGTATCGGCAGCAACTTACACTGGATAGGTTAGTTATTTGGCTATCTTCATGATAGCCCGTTTGGTTTAGACACACCACAACGGGCCAGTAATACATCAATGTATACTTAAACCAGAATGTACCTGGATCAAAGTTGAGGGATCGCAACAGTTGGGCCGGGTGTGTCAAACTGCTGGCTGTGTGTGTGCGTATGTCTGGCTAACTCGGTGCACGTGTGTTCCGTCGTGTCAGAACGTGAAACAGAAAACAGACTCGTTTTCTTCATGTGGTAACAAATTCTCAAGTATAAATACATGTAATTTCAAAATGTAGCTTTCATTGTTGCATGAACCGAACAATGGCCTTAAAGTGTGGGTAATGTTGAGTGACTCTTTACATGCCCCGTAAAAAATGATATTCAGAGGAACTAGTAGAACCTATTCCATGTTCGCGAATCCAGAGAAATGTGCGATGTGTGACCAGAAAATTGGAGGTGGTGGTTAGTTCTTTTTGTTTCTGTACTTAAATACGCACGCACCAACTGGCACACTCGGGTCACGCTCTTAGATTTGGTCCTCTTATTCATAACAGATAAGTGCAGTACGGAATAAAGAGTACAGTTTACAAGACAAGACCAGGAAGCGGATAGCCTTGAGTGAATCTAAGTGAACAAGTGTGTCTGGTTGACCATTAGTGCGCTCGAACTGTTTGTCAAGAACCATTGCCTGTGGTATCTACATTTTAGAAATGTCCTTGGATAACTGAATTCGTTGATAAACAAAACCAAACGGATAACCGAGAAAAGCACGCTGTACAGTTGATTCGACGCGGTTGGGTCTCATCCGCAGTGTGTGCCAATCCCTCCAACCGCAAACCCGGGACCACGAAACAGATAGACCATAAGCATATTGCACACTTGACCACTGACCACATGATAACGTATACACAAAACACACTGTCCGTTGATTACACGGCACCATTCATCTTAATAAGCCAGTTGTGAGCAATTAATTTCGCTGAACACCTTAGCACTTTTCCCAAGAGGATTTTATCTCTACCGGACAAATTTCGAAGCTGGTTACTTGTTACCAAATGCTATCTTAATTACATCCATTCACATGTGTCGACTGGCAAGATGACATTCTAAATCACATAGAATATTGTGTATACTTTTCTGCATTTTAATATACACGCGAACTGGAGTTCACGTGACTCACGTACCTGTGTGGCCAAAATTCGATCCATCTTTTTGGAGAGCATTTCATTTTCAACCTGGGAATCTTTGACGCGGCGTTTCAGTTTGCGAATCTCCTCTTCTGCAAATCGTAGCTGTTCGGACAAATCGGTTTCACGTTCTCGGGACGCGTCCAGTTCGCGCTGTAGTTGTTGTTCTTCAAATGAGGCCTCGCGCGAAAGAGATGGTCGACTGCCTGACTGACGGGACTAGATGAGGGTGAGAGAGAGAAATACAGGCACGTTGAGGAGTGAAAACAGTTAAGAACTTGATTTTTAGCGGGGGGAATCACAGTGAGTGAGGTCATAAATGGTTAACCAATTTTTAATCGGTTACTATGTTTAAACTCGTTAGGGTGGCGTGCGATGGCAATTTGTGAAATGAATACCGAGTTGTGAATGGACTCACCCGATTTTTGTCTGTAACCTGCAATGGTCCCTTGTCTAAAATACCTTTCTCTGTTTTCAATTTGTCCATCTGAAATGGAATTTGGAAATTCGCAATCGATGAATTGTGCAAATGGTTGTTTAGCAGATTGAAATCTTATGCTGAAATTGTGAAAAGTTCAGTAGCCTCGGTGGAACTCGAAACCACGCAAGGACGCCCACCCACACGGTTATACAGTGCACGCTTCACTAGCTGAGCTACGAGGACACACAGATAGCACTTATCTTTTCACATTCGAATCACCTATCAGGATACTACTAAAAATGGAACTGATTCGACGAGAATGAAAACCATTGGAAAGAGGAAGCAATCGTGCAAATAGGAGCTAAAGGGATCCTGAACTCTTACGTTCAGTGTTGCTTAAAGTAAATTAGCGATCGCCACTTTAGACCTTTAATTTTTTGTTTTCCTGTTTTTATTTGATTGTGCGCTTATGGGATCAGTAGATATTTGCCGAAGCTTGACACGAAACGAAGCAATTACTATTTAATTCGGTTACATCATATCTCAAGTTTTGTCATAGATCATGGTCGTTCTGAGAAAGAAAAAATGAAGGTTTTACCGGAGGTTGAGAGTTCGAATTCCACGACAACTACTACTACTACTACTACCAAAACC